AGTATTTATCAAAATCAAAATTCATTTTGAAATTAGAAAATCTTAAAATGTTTTGTTATATCAAAAAGGGGGAGATTGTTGAAAACATTTTGATGTTTCGATATAACAAATTAAATTAAAAGAATTTTAATTTTGAAAATGATTTTTCTAAGCATATTCGATATATTAAATCGAATATCAAAATATTACTCAAAGTATTTCAAAGTTCATTTTAAATACTTACTCAAGTGTAAAATTAAGTTTTAATCTTAAAATAATTTCAAAACGATTTTACAAAATATTTCGAACTATTTCAAAGCCAAAAATTCCAGATTGCTCAGAGGGAACCGATTCCCCCTGAATGGTTTGGCTCCGAGAATTCCAGTATGCTCGGAGGGAACCGATTCCCCCCACTGTTCAACGGTCGAAATATTTTAATTTTACACTTAGGGAACCGATTCCCCATTAGGGGTACCAATTCCCCCCACGCTCCAAGCAGAAATATTAATTGTTTTCACACTTAAACGGATCCAAAAACTTCATTAATGATCCCCAACGTTCAGAAGTGATTTAAGGTGTATTTAAGCAAGCTTAGAAACCATTGATCAATAACAAGAAACATCAAGCAACTAGAATCAAGAGAGAATCAAAGAGAAAGCATCAAACTTCAAGTTTGAGCATTTCAATCCTATCTTTCATTCAATATTCATTTTGCTTTCAAGAACACTTATTGTGCTCAATTGTATTCATTCTTGAGTGTTTTTTTCTTTGTTCTAGAATTGTGCAAACAATCTACCTTGTGAGGATTTCCTTGTAAGTTTGCAAATTTGTATTGTTCTCTTTGGGAGAGAGTGTTCTCAAGAATTTGGGGTATAATTCTTGAGGGTTTGTAAGGTTACTCTTTGTCCTCAAAAGAAAGGCAAATTAGTGAATTTGTGGAAAATCCTTAGTGTGGACAGCTAAGGTAGTGGACGTAGACTTTGGTTGAGAAAGTCGAACCACTCTAAATCGCTGTGCAAATTTCTTTCAATTTCCACCAAAATTTTAATTGCCAATTCGCCCCCCTCTTGGCCATATTCGTCAATCAATTAACTCAACAATAAAGGACTCTCAAAACCCAATTTCCCCATATCATATCAATGAAATGTCATTCTAACCTATCATATGTTTTTTTTTATATCAAGTTTATCAGAAACCCCTTTGTTTGGGTCATTATTAGAGCTTTTAAGATAATGGAGCAGTTCATGAACAACTAGAAAATTATTCGAGATTTACTTACTAGGAACAAACGCACATTGATTTTTGAAGATACACAAGGGTATTATAGTTTTAAGCTAATTCATAATGATTTTTGATATAATCTTGTAAATGATTGTGTAGAGACTAATCAATCTAAATTTTTTCATTAAACGAGGTATAGCAATTTTTAAAATCAATATAATGACAGTTTGGTTCACATTTTCAAAACTAACATTTCCTTTAAGCAAATAAAGATAAATAGAGATAACATCATTACTGACCATATGCTAGAAGGAATGAAAGAAACAACCGGGAAGCCCATCAATATTTGGTGTTTTTTGTTAGGGTTGATTTGGTTAAAAGTGATACAGACCTCCTCAGCCGTGTATTCCTTGTAAAGGTCAACATTAATCTTTGGAGTAATGTACGCCTCAACTGCATTAAGGATTGCCCTTGTTGTTTCGCCCTTGTAGGGTTGAAAGAAAGTGGATAAAAAGTTAATAGCCACATCAAAGATGTCATTCAGTAGCTCGACCTAAATTCATTCCCTTGATTCAACCCCTTCAATCCAGTTCTTCTTTGGTTACCAAGTTCGAAAAAATTATTCTACTCCCTGCATTCTCTACTTTGACTTTTTCTCTTCTTCCCTAGACATCAATCTTGATTCATTCCTAATTCCATTTTTGCTTAAAGCCACCTTCAAAACCCTTGATTCATTCCTTTGTTTATTTCATCAAAAATGCCATAGAGAGATTTGCCAAATTTCCTTCATTTATTTTCCATAGTCGATTGCTTCTTCTCACCATTTACATCACTCTTTTACTGATTTTTGCTTCATTCTTCCTTGATTTTTTATTGCATTTTCCCTTCATTCAATATTATTCTTTGCTACCACTCTTCATTGTTGGTGGAGTTGATTCTTCAGCAATCTTGTTCATTATCTTCTCTTTCATCTTCGAGTAAGGAAATTCACAAACCTTAGTTTATTTTGAGCTTCAATGATTAAAGATCCATTAAAGAAGATGATCTTGAGTGATTGTGATTTTCAATTGTGAGTTTTTATAATAAAAGTAATTTTAGAGTTAATTAATGTACTCATTCTCGAGTGGTTTTCAAAGTTTTATTAAGTTGATTATTATGTTTAAGAGATGGCTATTTCTATAATAAAACAATTTTTTTATTGGAGTTGATTTGGATAATATTTTTTTGGAACCAAGTTTGATTTCGTCGTTTTTCAGAAATTCAGGGATTAACTTAATTGTTGTTGCTCTTTAGTACTTTAAATGTGTGTAGGTGTTGATTGTGATCATTCTTGATCAACTCTAGTGTGAGGAAGCAAGTGCCAAAGTGTTAGATATGTTATATCGCTTGCGTGGTAAGAATTTCTGTCTTTTTATCAATTTTCGTTATGTTTTGAAAGCAAAATTTCTACTCTGTTTTGGACGTTTTTGTGACATGATAATATGTTCTCTAAGGTGTTCTTTGAGTTATTGATAAAATAAAATTTGTGCATCAACTTCCGGCAGTGAGTAGATAATTGTTTGGAGTCATTTTTTGTGCTCAGATCATCATAGAGTTGAATGACTTTCCACTATTGGATGATGAATGTCATCAATGTTAAATGAGGGCTTAGTTTTGGGCAATACCTTATATTAAGACCCTATGGTTAGTATGTTCTTGTCACCAATGATACATGATACCATCTGATCTGTGGGTTTAATTTATTAAAATTAGGACAAAATTGATAGAAAATACAAGTAACGATCAAATGTATAATTATACTAAAATATTTATTTGTCAGATTATCTCCTCCGTTAAATTTTAATGACAAGTGGCTTCATTTAAAAAATTAAATAGTTAGATAATCTAATTAATGAAACTAAAACATCGATAATTAAACTAATAAAAGAGGAAAATAGTTGAATGATCACTCGTACAGCTTAACTATGTCATAATGCAACAAAATAATCCTAACGTTTGATAATATTGCCAAACTTACCCGTATTGTTTTTTTAAACATTTGACCCCTCAACATTTCATTTTAGGTCAAAAAAAACCCCTCAATTGATGAAAATCATTAATTAACTGACGGTCAACACCAGATACTGACCAAGCACGTAAATGTGGATGGAGATGCTGATGTGGCCTGTCTAGCTCATGGTATATGATGACGTGGTATGTCCACATGGACTAAATTTAAAATTAATTAATTTTGTTTAAAATATGAAGTTTTTAATTAGATAGTATGTAATTTAAATTTAATAAAAATAATTTTAAAATAAAAGTTTATAAAATGTTTTTGTGTTGTGATTTTGATTGCTATAATATACTTTAAATATTGTTATTAACATACCAATAACATTCAAGTGAATTGGTCTGGTGATTAGATATTGGGCCTATCTACGTGATTTTTTAGAGGTTTAATCTCTAATTTCTAATTTAATTAAAAAACTCACATGTGTCACATGATAATATATTATTAGTTGTTAATAATTTAATAAAAAAATAATCACTAATTGATTTAAAAAATTTGTTGACATGACATCACACGTGGATATACTATGTTATCATTTAGTCCACGTGAACATGCCACTTCATCGTTTAATCTACGTGAATTTGTCATGTTAACATATACTATGAGCTGGACAAGTCACATTAAAATCTTCGTCTACGTGTATGTGTTTGGTCAAATTCAAACATTAGTCATCAGTTGACTAATGATTTCCATTCACCGAGAAGATATTTTAACCCAAAATAAAATATTGAACGGTCAAATATATAAAAAAATAATATGAATAAGTTTGATAATATTATCAAACGGTGGACAATTTATAATACTGACTGTCGGAGATCTCCTACGAAAGTTGCTCTCAACTTGACGTTGGAAACAACCTATTATCCTACCTCCCCTTACCCTATTACATATGGGAATATGATTAACTAATTTTTTAAGATTTTTTTTTCCGTGTGCCCTTAATTAATCTTTTAACCCCATTTGACTCAAACTGAAAAATGCACTCACTCTGCCCTACAAAACGACACAATTCGAAAAAAGACAAAACAACCTCCTTTGAAGTGGGCCCCACACTCACACGAGTACCCCTCACTCCTCGCCGTTCTTACTTTTTTGACTCAGAAAACGGCTCAGCCCAACTCACCCTAACGGCGGAAACGCGTACCCTTTACCCACTTTCACCAAAGCTGGAATCTTCGTCACGGCTAGACGTTGAACAAATTTGGCGGTAAAATCCAATGACACCATCATGATGTGTCAAATCCTAATTGGATGGAGATGAATGTCATGTCCATCGTGCATGTGTATCATGATTTATGCTGGTTAGGTTTCCCGCGCTAAATTGGGAAGATCCTTCACTCACAGGGTTTTCTACTAAAAACGGCCCAAAGTTAACGAGAGGGAGAGAAAATAAAAGATAACATTTTAGGGTTATTCTTTGTTCTTCACTAAAACTAGTAAAAGGAATAAATTAATTTCATTTTCTTTCTAACTGGTTTATCTTTCTTCTCGACTCGTTTAAAACGCTGTGTTTTGGGTGGTAGATTAGAAGCTAGGGTTTCGCTTCACTGGATCTGTTACATCTGTAGATCCAGGATCCCAACCAATTTCAAGCCTGAATTTTATAAGTTTTAGTTTTTTTGGTTGGCATTCTTGGAGATCAATTCGCCATTTCCAGAAGTGTAAATGATTTTTTTCCTTCTTTTATTTTCCTTGTTTGGTACCTAAAAATTTTGAAATGCATTTTTATTTTGCAGCGGAGGTTTAATCTTGAACATGGAAGACATGAAGCCTTCAGTAACAACTTCTGGTAGCACGGATGGCGATGCCATTGAAACTAGGTTCACTGCTTTGTGCAAGGTAGTGATATGTTCTTTTCAGTAGTATTTTATTTCTTTCTTTTCTCTGTGTATTTTTTCAGTGTTATGTTTACGTGATTTCCAGAATGGATTAGCTCTGGATGAGAAAGCTTGCTTAAATGCCATGAAGCTATTCAAAGAAACAAAGCACCTTTTATCCTCAAATGTTTCAGCAATTGGGAGTGGGACGGTGGGTTTTAACTTCCTTTTATATGTAAATATACTAAGATAATTACTTTTAGATGAACTAACTTTGTTGCATTTATTCTGGATTAGCTGGAAGAAGCAGAGCGGTTTTGGTTTTCATTTGTTTTATATTCATTCAAGCGACTGAGCGAAAAGATTGAAGAAAATACACAACATGAGTCTGATGAAAGTGGGTTTTCGTTATGCCAGATATTGAGAGCTACAAAGCTGAAGTATGATGCTGTTAATTTTGTGTACATAAGGATAGTTTTTCTGATCGGCAACTGTTTCAGCGACAATGAGTTTTTCTTATGTTTTGCAGTATTGTGGATTTTTTTAAAGAGTTACCTCAGTTTGCGGTAAAAGCTGGTCCTGTTTTGAGTAACATGTATGGTGAAGATTGGGAGAGTAGGCTCGAGGTACTGAAAGAATAAGTTTTAACTTCTTTTCTTTTATATTTATTTTGAAAACATCTAGCAAAGTTGCTTCTATTAACTATCTGCTTATGGTACTTTATTTATTTTTTTTTTGATAGAGGTTGGAGGTCTCATTAAAAACTCCCTTCTTATTCGTTCAAATACTAAGAAGTATGTTAACGAACATTGGAAGGAAGAAAAGAGTACCTCAAATTAAATTAATAACAATACCCAATACAAAAGATTACACGAAATATCCACCTATGGTGATAAACACCATTACAACAAACACCTTAACCTCATATAACCTCAACCAAAGTCGCAATCTAAACACCTTATTTCTAATTAAACCTCCAGTAATAGAATCTAAACAACGCAACAGAACATAAAACAAAATAAAAGCAACACCTGCAACTATATAAACTAAATTAAACAACAAATAAAAAGGCAAAATCTAATTAGATTCATCTTCTTCAGGAGCCCACGAGTTTGGCTTGAATGAAGGCTCTATCTCATGTACCATGATCTTGAAGGAGTTGTCACCCACCTTCAATTCCAACGTCGCATCAATTCTCGCACCAGCCTTTGCTAGGACTTGAATTTTTGCCCGATCAAAGGATGATGGTGACTGACAGCTTTCGTCGATTGCTAGTAACTGACCCCAACTATTAGCAATGTTCTTGAAGGTATCCCAATTCCATGTGTGAAACGGAACACCCTCGCAAACTAACCATACTCGGCGACACTCCAATACCAAACTCTCTGACCAAGCTTCGATTATAGAGAACCACTCTGCGAGAGTCTCTGATTTATCGTTCTTCACACTTCTCAAAGAAGCAGAATCTTCGAAAATCATTAATACCGCATTTCCAACAACTCTCATTAAGGAGAAGCCAATGAGGCCCTTCGCATGCATTTGTCTAGCGAGATGACTGATTTTGATGAAATTTTTACACCACCCCACTAGACAATAATTCAACACCTAAAGTTTTTCTTTATCAATAACACCTTCGACTTTATAATGCTTCTTCCTCGAATCATCTTCCATCCCGAACTTGTGGAGAACACCTGTGGAAGACTTTCTCCAATAGGATTGACGAGGTTTGAATTTAGCGAAAGAAACACCAATTTTGCTGCCGTCGATATAAGAGCCATTCATTTTTGAGGTCGCTCTCCTTGCTTCTTCGATTGAAGCGAAGCGAATGAAACCAGAACGAACTCCTTTTGCATTTCTTTTATTTGGAATAAAAGCATCAATAACCCTGGGAGCAAAAAAATGATCCAAGCCTCTTCCAATGGATATTCTCTGGTAAATTTTCAACAAATAATGTGTAGCATCCATACTTATCAACATTGCACTCCTTTGTGATAGATTCCCTGATTCCATTGTGACCACCATCAACTGCTGACTTTTCGTCGCAACTCCCAGATTTAAAAGGCACATGAATACTTGGAGATGCTAAAGAGGCTGGATTTGGCAATGGCTCCTCAAGATGAGAAAGGAGAGATGACGGAGAAAGCGCGTCTGCAGAGGATGAAGGAGTTTGGCCCTTCGATTTCTGCTGGACAGAAGGGACGATTCCAGCACCCCACATGAAGAAAACCGTTGAAGTAAAAACAACCCAGGGACTTGACGGAACTGTTCTGTTAGCGCCCGACGATGGAAGCTGTGACTGCCGACGATGGAGGCTGTGACTGCCGGCGAAAAAAGAAGGGAGTAGGTGATGAATAGAGTCCAACAGGTAGATATAGGACAGGCGATGAGACGCTGGCAAAACGGAAACCAAGGCGTAAAGATCTTTGACGGAGAAGAAGATGCGTCGCCAACAACTGAAAGCCGAAGTTCCTCGTCCCAGATCCACTGAGTTGAAGGCTCACCCTGACGTAATGATGCCTAGAACCGAGATGATGGCGCCGAGACGAAAAAACTTGGAAGATTTGGTGGTCAACAGCCACCGGATGTGGCGACCGACGCGGTGACAAACGGCGGCGGTGGGTGGCGGACGGCGGCGGCGGACAACGAATGAATGTCGGAGGGGAGATAAATTTTAAAAACGCCTGGGATATTTGAAATTTGAAAAACACCTAGGTTAGAGAGAAGCTAGAGCTTCTCTCACTAACACGTGAACTTTTGTGGCTCGACTTTGCATCATTTCAGATGATTTGAGAAATAGCAAGGGCAACAGTTTTCCCTCTTTGTTTAGTGACAAATACTGCAACTGAGTTAATCAAACAAATAGAAACATGAAAGGGATGCTGTACCTCGCCACCAACAGCCAGTATGGAACCCTCACTGTCAAATGTCAGTGCTAACTGTTGACCAACATCTTCTAACTGGGTCAGTACTTTCTCTGAGGCCTTGACACCCAGTTTGTGGACTTCATTACCCTCGGAATCTTTCCACTCAAACAACCTGAAGATAAAAAATAATGCTATGCGATATTCCTTAGACTACTCGCGGTGACAAAACTAAACATAGAACACAATACTAACAATGATGTATATGCTTATGGTACTTTATCAATTAGGCTAAGGAGATGCAGGCCAACTTTGTGCACTTGAGCCTTATATAAGCAAGTAGGTGTCCTTCTTTTATAACCTGTTCTAAGTTATAAGATGGTATGTCTGGATAGCTTTGTGATGTAATTTGCATTTATCTTTTTATCTTAATATAAGTATGCTTTGATAATTCGATGGGTTACTTTTAAATTCATGAAATCACACTAGTGAAAAGCTATATTTATGTTTTACAAGGGTTCAGATTTGCAGTATACTTGCTTATGTTACGTTGAACCTTGTCCGAAATATACAAGAGCAGGCATAGATTTCGGTGTTTTTATCAAGTGTTTATCCCCCACAAAGGAAAAAGAGAAAACCCCGGGGAGGGGTGAGGGGGTTGTACTGTGAAAGATGTGCATGTCAAATATGTTGGAAAATAAAACACAATAATGATATAATATATACAAATATATACATACGTGCACATATCCTATTTTTTTTTTTAGTAGCTGGTCATGTGGCCTTGTTTTTGGCATTGATTGCAATCTTCTCCAAATGGATAACATAATTAAATTTAAGATAGTGATATAAATATGACATTTTCTTTTAGATGGATTGCAGAATTATATTTCAAATGATATGTTACTCAGGATTTGTACTGTGCATTTGATAGATTTTAAGTGTTTTCCTTTGGGCAACTGTATCCTCAAAACCTTATTTTTCTCGTTAGTCTGTATAATTTTTCAATCTGTAAAGTAAATTACATCTGCATCTTGCTATTTAATGGTATAAAAGGTCATTCAAGCGTGCATTTTGGGAACTCTTTGTGGCAAGCGATGCTAATATTGACAAGCAGAAAATTCTACCAGTTCGCCGGAATATTTATCTGAGTGCCATCGTTTTGGGTGGTTACTTTTTTTGGCACTCCGTGTGCACTCATTCAGCCGTTTTAAAGACCTAGCTGATTGCTTTCTTACTAGCTGATTGCATGAAGGCAGACTTGGTTTTACTAAGGAATAGTAACACGTCCCTTTTTTTCTAATGAAGCACGTTCTTATTACACTGGTACAGATTATGGGTTAATTGAATAATTATCAAACAGAATGCAAACATTGAAAGTTGCGTTTAAATGTTTTCTTACAATTTATTTGATTTTTAACAGGTTTTTTGATTATACGTGTTCCCATGCGCTTCAGGAACTTTAAGATCAGCGACTCCACATTTTGGTAGTTTTCTGCTCTTTTATAGAAGTCAAAATTTTAGATGTCTTTGATAAAGAGAATGCATTGTGATCTTCTTCACTGGCTCTTTTTTATTTTATTTTGTCCAATATTCATCACTGGTGTTTAGTTCTTACCCTTCTACATTTTTTCTTTATTTTCTATTCCTGGTGAGGATAAAATTTTGGCATTCCTTGTTGACTTCATCTAATCATTCAGTTAAGAAAGGAGACAAAGGTGTCGACCTGCTTGCATCACTTTGCAACATGTATGATGCTTCAGAAGATGATTTGAGGAAAACAATGAAGATGGCCAATAAGTTAGTACAAGATATATTGGGAAAAAAGCCATGTCCAGCAGCTGAGCGTAAAATGGAAACTTTGGAAAATATTGATACCGGTTCTTCATTTAAGTCATGAATACAATTTTGGCAACATGCTTTCATCGGTTTTGCTTTTAATTTACGTGATCTTCTTTGATGCAGATGGCTTGATCTATTTTGAAGGTTTAATGGAGGAACAATCTCTTTCATCCTGTTTGAATATTTTAGAAAATGATTATGATCCCATTTGTAATAAAGGTGATCTGGATGAAAGGGTGTTTGTAAATGAAGAAGATAGTTTACTTGGTTTAGGGAGCTTGTCTGGAGGGGCTATGCATGTTACTGGTATCAAGGTCTGTTTCAAATTTGAGGAAGCGTATTCTTCCCTTTGGTTTTTGTGCTTTACATAGCAGTTCCTTTATCTAAGAAAGTTGTTTATTCTGTTCTGAGTAGAGGAAACTTGATTCAATGGCCTCACAATCAAAGTCAATCTCAAGCCCACTGTCTCCTCGACGGCCTCCTGCCTCTCATATGAATGGTGTACTTGGATCGCCGAGTGCGAAGATGGCAGCTACGCCCGTCAGCACTGCAATGACAACTGCAAAATGGCTTCTTTCTGTTATTTGTCCTCTTTCTCCAAAACCTTCAGCTGAGTTGCAGCTTTTTTTATCATCGTGTGATAAAGATGTTACCAATGATGTGATATGGAGGGCACATATAATATTGGAGGCAATATTCCCTAGAAATCATGAACGTAGTGCAATCGGAAGCCTTCAAAGTGTAAACCTGATGGATAATATATGGATGGAACAACGAAGGCTAGAGGAACTAAAGTTATACTATAGGGTTTTGGAAGCCATGTGTACTGCAGAGGCACAAATATTACATGCAGCTAACTTGACGTACTTATTAACTAATGAGAGGTTTCATAGATGTATGCTTGCTTGTTCTGCTGAACTAGTGCTAGCGACACAAAAGACTGCCACAATGTTGTTCACTACAGTACTGGAAAGGACTGGTATTACAGCCTTTGATCTGAGCAAGCTGATAGAGAGTTTCATTAGACACGAGGAGTCTCTGCCAAGAGAATTGAGGCGGCATCTAAATTCTCTGGAAGAGAGGCTTTTGGAGAGCATGGTGTGGAGTAAAGGCTCCTCAATGTATAATTCTTTGATAGTTGCAAGACCTTCTCTGTCTGCTGAAGTAAATCGTCTTGGCCTATTGGCAGAGCCAATGCCATCTTTGGATGCAATTGCGATGCATGTAAACTCTTCTGGAGGTACACCTCCAGTGTCAGCTTTGCTGAGGCACGAAACATCAACAGGTAATGTTGGCAGCTTAATCTTAGGTGTGCAACATTTTGAGCTTTATTTTAATACTTTCTGACTGGTATGTGAGTTTTCTTGTTTAATGTAGTAACTTATGTTAGGAGTTGATTACGGTTTTTTTTCTCAATGTTTAATTATATTCTATCATGCACTTTGTTTTCATAATCGTGCTATTTATTTATTTCTTTACAGCTCAAAATGGGGATGTAAGGTCTTCCATGAGACCATGTGCAGAGTTTAGAAGCATTTTGGTTGAACGGGACGCTTTTACATCACTGGTGAAGGATATCTATTAGCATTAAGCAACCTTAAGAAGGCTCCTTTGCAATCTGCATTTGCGAGGTATTTTGTGTTGAAAGTTCTAGGAAGTAGAAACCTAAACTAACTGCACTGGCTTAACTGAATTTTGTTTTCGGGTATTTGTTTGTAGTCCAACACATCCTAACCCAGGCGGTGGAGGAGAAACATATGCAGAAACAGAAATAAATATATGTTTTTTTAGCAAGGTTTCAAAATATAAGATAAAGTAGACTTTCTTTCATAGCTAGTGTGTGCCTTATATGCTCATATACTGGTTCAGGCCTACTAATACTTAATTGTAAAATGTAAATATCCCATGATATATTTTCTCGTGACAAATTGCCCACGAGTACTGACTATTGAATTTGATTTAGATGCTGTGATTATCTACTCTGTCTAATGTGTTGCTTGCTTTTCACTGTCTAGATTAATAAGTTGGCTGCCGTCAGGATTAATGGTATGGTTGAGAGACTACAATTGTCTCAACAGATTAGGGAGAATTTATATCATCTTTTTCAGCAAATACTGAACCAGCGGACTTCTCTGTTCTTTAACCGTCATATTGACCAGATCATCCTTTGTTGTTTCTACGTAGTTGCAAAGGTCTGCTCTTCTTATGATATCTTTTTAACCACTGTTAAATTTATCTACAGTGCTTCCTCTTATTTTAAGAATGAATAACCTGCAGATTTCTCATTTGCGCTTGACTTTCAAAGAAATCATTTGCAACTATAGGAAGCAACCACAATGTAAACCTCAGGTTTTCCAAAGTGTATTTATTGACAGGTCATCTGCACGACCAACAGGGGTATGGTTTCTATTCTCTAGTTTATTCGTCCCTGCTTTTCCTGAAGATTTTGACCATTTTTATAATCCGTAAACATAGAACCGGGCAGGATAATATTGATATCATTGCATTCTACAATGAAATATTCATTCCTATTGTAAAGTCTGACGTGATCCAAATCAACATCATGTTTACATTGGTTATTTCAACCTTTCAGGGGAAAAAACTTTCTATCATTATACATAATGATGCTTATTTCATATGCTATAACATAGTTATATTCATATACATATATTACATCTACAACTATAATGATAATAACTTATTCATTGCTATGTGAGGCATAAGTTATTATTATATACTATAGTACATATTTCTATCTTATACTACTTAATTCTTTATGTTATGTGTGTAGGTATATTCGGCCACAACTTAGGAGCTAAATTGGAGCTAAATGGATAAAGCAAAGGCAAGGAAACTTACATGGGGACGTTTAGGAGAGCACATGGAACTGTCCGGAGACCCGTGAGCTCATAGTTGGATTGAGTTAAATATTTGAGTTACAAGATGATTTCAATTCAGTTGGAGAGTTGCACCATCATCATCACTACTTAGGACACTTCAAATATGTCTCGAGTCAAAATTTGTGAAATCGTACCTTTTCGCGAATAGTTGCCACCTCAAAAAATATCTTTTCACAAAGAGCTGTCATAATGTTCATCATGCTACAACTCACCTATGACCAGCTCACCTCCAGCTCATTCATCTTAGAACTAGCTCAAACATGAAAGGTTATCTTTTCAAATATTGTGACCTTTCATGAATGATGCTGTCCATAAAGATGCCCTTTCATCAAGGAGCACGTTGGTGAAGAGATTGTATCCATTGGAGGCCTAAATCACCAAGAGCCATGAGATGAAGCTCCATGATTATTCGGCCACACCACATGCCTTGCACAGAGTTTTGGCGCCAACTTGAGGAGGCACATCATCATTCGGCCAAGGGAGATGTCTTTGGCGTCAAGATGAACCAACATGTACCATTCGGCTATTGGAGATTTCTTTCCACCTTTGTCGATACATCAAGCCCCTTTATGAAAGGTTAGTCGAACCAATACCAAGTTTAAGGACATATCTCTTTATTCAATTAATTATGTATTTTCATTAAGAGACATGTACCTAGCCGAAACACTATGTAACCATTCGGTCAAGTCCTCTCATTTTCTATAAATTGAGAGGCTTGCCATCATTTATACTCATCTCATTCATATTAAAAACAATCCTTTGTGAGTTTAATCTCTATTTCAACTTCAAGACCATCAACATCTTCTTAATTCCACAACCATCTCTTTAATTTCTTTCCATTTCATTACTTTTATTATTTAACCATTTTTTAAGTCCATTATTAATCTTATTTTTTTCTTATTGTTGTTGCAGCCCAAATTTATAATTCAAGGACATCAGTATTTGTCAATCTTAGATCGGGACACAATAAATCTATCTACACACTTCTATTAAAGCGTGTAGATTCAGCCTACATCAAGTTGTACGCAGAGTATAGTTGGATTGACAATAAAAGTGTCATTGGCGTGCAAACAATAGAAGTAAAAAGAAAAAGAAATTCAAAAAGAAAAGAAAGACTCCTACAACAATCAAGGGAGTTCAAAGACAAAAAGAAGAAAAAAATCAAAAAAAGAAAAAGATAATTTCAAAAAGAGAAACAAAGCTAAGAAAAGTGTTCTACTATTGCAAGTACATCAAAGAGGTCTATTTACACTAAGAGAAGATAACTATATTGTTTCTTGAGAAAAGTTGCAGTAAGTGTTGTTTCTTGGATTGTAAGTCATCTCTTTGGTTTTATACTTTCATTTTTTCTTCTTGTCTTCAACCTTTTCTTTTTTTTAAATACATTGAATCATTTCTTCTACCTTTCCATTTATTTTTCTCCTTTCTACGTTAACTTATTTATAGTCGATGCACACAAGAAGAGAATTAACTTGTTCTAATCTTAAGTAAGTTCTTCAAAGGACTTAGCAAGAGAGATCGAGTGGAAAAAGACTAATTGAGTGAGTGAGATCAGAAGGAATTATTAAAAGCCAAATTATATTTTCGAGAGTAAATACGAGTGTTGAGTGGAGTGATCTTATTTTTTTCTTTGAAGTGAAATTTGTGGGGCTTTGTGAGTGTGCTGGTAAGGTTTACTTTTGTTTTATTTGTTTACTAACCATGTCTCAAACTCCTAAAGGAAATTCATGTCAACCAAACTTGCAAATGCAAGCATTGATTGGATAAATGATGAGAATGTTTTGTTCAGAGTTTGATGCTCTTCATGATAAATTAGACCAAAGATGAGATCAACCCCAAGCTCAGAACAAGGATACTCCTCGGAGGCAACAACCTTTTCCAAAAGATGATGTCTTAGACAATTATGATGAAAAAGAACCAACAATGATACAAGGACCTAGGCGTGCCAATGTTGATAACATGAGCAACATTAAAATCAAGATTTCTCAATTCCAAGGGAAAACTGATCTTGAAGCCTATCTTGAATGGGAAAGCAAAGTGGAACATGTTTTTAGTTGCCACAATTATTCTAAACTAAAGAAAATGAGATTGTCAGTCATAGAGTTTGTCGGTTATACTTTAATATGATGGGATAAACTTACTATTACCAGAAGGAGAAATGGAGAAAGACCAATCTCAACATGAACTGAAATAAAAGGTATCATGCGTAAATGTTTCATTCCTGTTCATTATCATCGAGACTTGTTTCAGAAACTGCAGAACCTTAAACAAGGTCAGCGAAGTGTGGAGGATCACTATAAGGAGATGGAAGTGGCAATGATCCGAGTTAATATTGAGGAGAATCGTGAAGCAACCATGGCTAGATTTTTTGTCGGACTCAATCCAGAAATTGCCAATACTTTGGAGTTGTACCATTACATAGAGATCGATAAAATGGTGCAAATGGCTATGAAAATAGAAAGGTAACTATGGAGAAGATTTATATCTCACACTACCATGCCTACACCTTCAAGATGAAGTCCAAACAGTTTGAAGAAATCTACCCTTACTCCTACCGAAAAGAAGGTCGAATTATCCAGTGCTCCACAACTCAACAAGGATAGCCGAGGAAAAGAGACCCCTGAACGATCAAGAGACATTAGGCGCTTTAAATGTCTTGGGAGGGGACATGTTTCTACACAACTACTTGGAAATGGTGACATTTAATCTGACCATGAAGAAGTAGAATCCACTGAAGTCGAAGAAGAAAAAGTAGAAATTGGGGCTCCCGTATAAGGCGAAGCTCTAGTGGTTAAAAGAAGTTTGAGTACTCAAGTGGTGGAGGACAATGCACAAAGGGAAAACATCTTTCATACCCGATGTCATGTGAATGAAAATGTATGTTTCGTGATCATAGACAGTGGGAGTTGTACCAATGTGGCAAGTTCAATCATAGTGGAGAAATTGGGATTGAAAACATTGAAGCATCCAAATCCCTACAAATTACAATGGCTCAATGAACGGGGAGAACTTGACGTCAATAAACAGGTGATGGTTCCTTTTTCAATTGGAAAGTACAAGGACTAGATTATGTGCGATGTTGTTCCTATGCTTGCTAGCTATTTACTCTTTGGAAGACCATGGCAATATGATAAGAAGATCATCCATGATTGTTTTACTAATCAATATTCGTTCAACGATGGAGGGAAGAAGATTATCCTTACACCTTTGACGCCTAAACAAGTCCAAATTGATCAAATCAAGATGAAACAAAGTGTTGAGCCCATGAGGAAAAGAAAATCGACGTCAAGGAAGGAGGAAACAAGTCTAAAAACAAGTGCTTATACATCTAATTGCTTGTTACAGAAATGCTTATTGTCGAGACGCAAGGCTGATGAAGATTTTTCTAACCTTGAAAATGCAGAAATTTCCTTTGTCTTGTAGGATGTTTCAAACAACACAACTTGTCAATTTAGGAGGCTAAAGGACGTGACCTTTCAAGAATCAAGAGGTGCACCTAATGAAAAGCAAAAGGAGGCGATTCTTCATCCAAAGGACGTGACTTATGAGGACTATAAGGACATTGTTAAGTTAATATGTTTTCAACACACATCACCATTCCGAGAGTAATCACCTTTCATGATTCAATGCATACATCTATTGAAGAACCAAGGGACATGATTTCTGGAATGCAAAAGGACTTAAACGTTCAAAGCAAAATGTCTTCAATAGACATGAACTTTGAACATTCATCTAACAGAGAGTACAATTTAACTTTAATTATGTTTGATCACATTTTTTCTTATGAAAGTTTTCTTTCTTTTCAGACCATGGATTTCCAAAGCATTCATTCAAAGAATATGAACCTTTTCATAAAGGTACTGGTTGATTGTATTGGATGGAAGGACATTAGGAAAAGAAAACCTTTCGATTTGAGGACAAATCGATTAAAAGAAGTGGAGAATGATGTGATCCAATTCAACATAATGTTTACAATGGCTATTTAAACCTTTCAAGGGAAGAAAATTTATATCTTTATACATAATGATGCTTATTTCATATGATATAACATAATTATATTCATATACATATATTACATCTATAGCTATAATGATAACAACTTATTTATTACTATGGGAGGCATAAGTTATTATTATATACTATAGTACACATTTCCATTTTATACACATTATATAAGTTCACATGCTTAACTTAATTCTTTATGTTATGTGTGTAGGTATATTTGGCCACAAATTGTGAGCTAAATTGGAGCTAAATGGAGAAAGCAAAGGCAATGAAACTTACATGGGAACATTTAGGAGAGCACAAGGAACAATTGGTGAAAAATTGTCCTGAGACACGTGAGCTCATAGTTGGATTGAGCCGAAGATTTGAGCTACAAGATGACTTCAATTCAGCTGGGGAGCTGCACCACCATCATCACCACTTATGACACTTCTAATATGTCATTAGTCAAAATTTGTGAAATCGTACCTTTTCGCGAATAGCTGCCACCTCAAGAGATACTTTTTCACAAGGAGCTGCCATAATTTTCATAAGGAGCTGCCATAATGTTCACCATGCTACAACTCACTTATGACCAGCTCACCTCCAGCTCATTCACCTTAGAACTGGCTCAAACATGAAAGGTTACATTTCCAAACAATGTGACCTTTCATGAATGATGCTGCCCATTAATATGCCCTTTCATCAAGGAGCACGTTAGTGAAGAGATTGTATCCATTGGAGGCCTAAATCACCAAGAGACATGAGATGAAGGTCCATGACTATTCGGCCACACCACATGCCTTGCACATGAGAGTTTAGGCGCCAACTTGTGGAGGCACATCATCATTCGACCAAGAGAGATGTCTTTAGCGCCAAGATGAACCAACATGTACCATTCGGCTAAGGGAGATTTCTTCCCACCTTTGCCAAAACATCAAGCCCCTTTATGAAAGGTTAGCCGAACCAACACCAAGTTTAAGGACATATCTCTTCATTCAATTAATTATGTATTTTCATTAAGAGACATGTACTTAGCCGAAACACTATGTAACCATTCGACCAAGCCTTCTCATTTTCTATAAATTAAGAGGCTTGCCATCATTTATACTCATCTCATTCATATTAAAAACAAACCTTTGTGAGTTTAATCTTTTCAAAGTTCTTTGTGAACTTTATCGATTAAGCAAGTATAATTTCTTATACTTGTGGCGTCAATCCTTCCACTTTAATTCCTAAATTTTCAGATTCCTAGATTTTTA